TGACATCAGTCTTCCCAGACCCAAACCCCAGTTCCCAAAGTTCTCCAGCCACAACAGTGTGAATTCCTCAGGGAGGTGCCAGTCTCATCCTCTTGATCCTCCCACGCGGTTCTGGCGAGCTAAGAAAATGTTTGTCTCTCTGAGCTCGACCTTCGTAATTCCATTCCATCACAGGACCCCTGCACTAGACTATATTGTTTGAATGGAACTATAACACAAGACTTGTGCCATCTTTATAGTTACACAGGATTTCCTTCTGCTCAGTCTGCCTTATGTGCTACAGTGTGTGAAAAAATAACACCATATTTTGCAGCCTTTTCTCCTTCTGTTGCCAGCCTCAGGAAATTGAATCCCTAGAAAAAGAAGACAGCCACCAGCAAGGTGGATGGACTCAGTTATAGAAGCACCAGGTACACCACTGGAATATATGAAGGACCAGGTTGGAAGATCTGAAGAATCAGAATCAACTAGAGTTCTGCTCCATTGTTCGTTCTTTTTTTCTTCCCCTGCTATTCCCATCAAGAAGTGTGCCTATTATTAATTTTAATTAAATGTAAAATTGTGAATCAAACACTGTTTTAGTTGCATGTTGTCTATCCTAACACTTACCACAAGTAATAAAGACATCAAGGCATGTCACCGTAGAAGTAGCATCCTTGAATAAAGGGGGTTTCTTGTAGGACCCAAGTTCTTTGATGGAGTAACTAGCGGGAGTTAAGATACCAAAAGGTGACAATCATTGCGGTAAAAAAGAAAGTCCCTTGTCTTCACTACTCTGCAACCAATCCCTCAAACCTCAGACTACACCAGGTCTTCCAGCATCAGTGGATGCTGGAAGATGTGCTGCTGGCCATGTCCACCCTCTCTCCCAATGACTCCATCACAAGTGAGAGGAAGACCAGGAAGCTTTGGGGGCAAACAAGGTCCTTACCAGACCTATGGAAAGCCAGAATGCTCCTATGAGGCCTGGGTGGATTTTGTCTCTTTTTTAGGTAGCTGTCATGGTGCTGGTACTGATGGAGAAGACACTGCTGAGTCACTAACTGGACAATACTTTCACATCATACAATCAAATCCAGGAATTTTCTGGGATGTGACTCAGAGTGGGATGACCTTCCCAAAACCAAGATGGACTGGGCAACCTGGGATAACTGTCAGTATGCTACCTAGATCAGGACCAC